GGTTATAATTTATGAATTAGTTTTATTAGCTGCATAACTTGCTGAGAGTGATAGAATTCTGTGAGTTTCATCCAAGAAATACAACCTGTAACTCACATTGTGAACATCTTTGATATTCTTTTCACCCTCAGTGAAATTCTAGTTATAAAATAATGTATATTTAAAAGCACTTGTATGCATTAAATTATAGAAAATGTCTTTAAAATTCATTAATTTTAATATAAAATTATTTTTAGTGTTGAAAATACAGTGAATTCCACGACATTCTTTTTTCTTGTTTTCCTTGAAGTTTTTTTTTTTTGATGTGGGTAAGATACATAAAATAAATAGATATTTATTTCTAAAAATGTGAGAATATTTACTTTTTAGAATATAGTGTGCATAAATTTAAAATTTAATTTATGTGGTTTATAAAGTATATTGAGAAATGAACATCTATATATCGAATTTTTCGACTATCTAAGGTCTTTAAGCAAAATTTTAAATCCACTGTAACTGAATAAGTACGCATGGGTCTGTAAAAGACATTAATTTATGTTTAGTGTCCTGTAAAATCCTTGTACGAATTAATTTCTATTTTAACTAATTGATCCTTGCGTCGTGTTTGCCTTCTGAGAGAAATAAGTCAATTTCTGAGGAATGGAGAAAATCCCATTTGCATGTTGAAATGTTCTTGGGAAAATGAGATTACTTTTGAAATAAATCCTGTTTCTTTCCATGCGTTTGATAATGAACCTCTAAGATATACTATCATTTACTCTTAATCAGTAGTACTGAGTTAAGTTTAATTTCTAAACCAATTATTTTCGCAAGTGGAATCGCATCACTGTAAAGCTATGATTTCTAGTATGATAATCTGTAATGAACTTTGTATATTTATACTGGATTCCTTATTAAGGGGGCACAGTACGATTTAATTCACAAATATTGGTCAAAAAATCAAATCTAATATTTTTAGCCCCAAAATTATTTTTTATGTATTTTTCTATAACCTCCCGCAACATTTGAAAGCTCTAAACTTAAAAAAAACAGAATTATATAAGTTTTTCGTTCGTTTTTTTTTCACATCCCTATGACCAAAAAAAAACTTTAAACTTCTTATTCAGAAAGATAAAAAACCCGGGTTGTCTTCATTTAAAATCTAAAAAGGGGTTTTTTTTTTAATTGTGTTTAAAGCTTTTGAATTTTTTTTCCTATTGCTAATAGTAATGTAACAAAAAATTGGGTTTTATTTTTTACTAAAGTAATACTTATTTTTTAAAATAATTAAACCCATAATTTATACTTTTTTTTGGGGAAATTTTTAATAAGATTCATAAAAGAAGTATTGTAAAACTAAATCATATCCAAAAACCCCTACCAACTTTTGTTATAAAGTTTAGACTTTAAATCAAATTTCATACCGGGGAAATTTGAAGGGTAGCATTTTAAAATCACTTCCCAAATTTTAAGTTTTTTTTATTAAAAAATTAAATGAATAGATTTTTTAGAACTTTTGAGCACAAAATCTGTTTAACATAGTTTTAACAAAATAGGAAAACCAAAAAAAATTTTTTGAAAAACCTTTATTAAATGTTTTTGCAAAAAACCTACCATTTTCCCTTTAAAAGACTACACAATCCCCTAAAAATTTCTTTTTTACCAAAAATTTTTTTTTTGCATTTTCTTTTTCCCCATAACATTAGAAGCTTGCCCAAAATTTCAAGATCTGTTAGCAAATTATTTTTTTCAAGCTATGGTTTTTGGTTTGGGGTTTTCTTTTTAAAAAACATTTTTCCACTCTTATATTGAATTAATTAAAGTTTTTTTTAGAGCTTTTGGCAAATGGTTTTTAAATTTCCCAATTTTCATTACAAAAAATCATTTCTCTTTATTATTTTTTGGGGTTATTTGAGTTCTCATAATTAATTAAAAAAAGATTAATTTCAGGGCCAATTTTTCTCAAAAAATAGTTTATGTAACTTAAAAGCTTTAAAATTGTTTTTTTCCTGTAGAAAAATGCCATAAACAAATCCGTACTTGGGTTTTTTGTGAAAACAATTTTTCCCAAAAAGAGATGGAATACTCCCGAAAATGATGATCAAAAAATAAAGTCTTCTGATGATTCGGGTTAACTTCCGAACGCAATTTTTCCCGGGAATTAAAAATGATGCAGATATAACTGAATATTTCGTGTCCCAAAAACTACATTATACTAAACTTTTAAAAATACTTTTTTTAGTTTTTTAAAAAGTCGTCCCGGCAAAGATCTAAAAATTCCTAAACTGCCCCAATTTAAAACTGAAAAAAAATTACATTTTATGAGCAAACAGGACTATTTTTATCTTAATTTAGTATCATTACTATTCTGTACATTAATGCTTTGTGTTTCAAAACTTTTGTGAAAATTTTAAGTTAAGATAAAGCTGAATAAACTGACGTCTTAACTAAGGATATCAATATTATGCAAAAATATATATTTTGAATTAAAAATATAATTTTCAGTCATATTTAATAAAAATAGTGTTTTTAAGCAGAAAATACATTGGAAAATAACATATTAAAAATTTAGAGTTTTTTAAGGCATTATAAATTTTTTGTTTTTATGACTTTACAAATTTTTAAATGTTTTTCTCAGACTTTCAATTTTGAAGGTATAAATTTTTTTCCTAATTTCTAAGGTTTTTTTTTCCTTTTCCCAAGATAGAGCCTTGAATTTTTTGTGTATACTCCCAAACGTATGTTCTAAAAAAGGGTTAATATGGTTTTAAAGGGGCTGAGATCTCTAATTATTTTTTCTAAATAATGCAAAATTTGGGATATTTTAAAATTTTCGTTTTTTTTCAAATTTTCAAGAAAAATAATTATTAAAATCAACAAGGGAATAAAATTTTCAAATCCATACAACTTTTGTTTGTAACCTAAAAACATAAATAACTTAAAAAATTTTTTTGATAAAAAATTTTTTAAAAAATTGAGTATTTTATAAAAGTTTGAAAAAAGACTTAAAAAATTTCCCAAATTTTTTTAAAATTGAAAAAAATAATGGCTGGTAAAACCCCTGATTTTTTCCCACAGAATCAGCTTAATAATATAATATAAATTAAAATATCAGTTATTCCTACTGTAAGTGTCCCCAAAAAAACTTTTTGAAAAGAGTACCGTGTAGCCTTAAATAATATTTGTTATAAAGTAGTATGAGTATACATTAAAAGGAAATGGGGAATGAATGTTTTTCTTTAAAATTCATCACAGTTTGATATGTATTAGAAACTTAGAATTATAGTGGTATTCACCTAATAGTAAGTAAATGAGCGAATGTGTGTTTTGAATGAAACACTTAGGGGCTATTTAAAATTTTTTTTTAACCCTATGACACAATGCGTTCCAAAATATAAAAAAAGTTTTAGAACTGTTGAATATCTTAAATCAAAAATGATTCTTAATATCCCCCAGTGAAATGTAATCCGTGATATAATATCTAAAAATTTGAAAATTTATACCGGCATATTAAACATCTAATTAAGAAAAATGCTGCAAATAAAAATTCACAATCGTTGTTGGAGGAAAATTTCAAGGGCTAACAAAACAATATCATTATTGTAACTTTTGTGTACTGACAGCTGCTCTCTCATGACATGAATATATATAAATATCGTTTTGGAAAGCCAAAAGCTAGCTCTATTCAATAAAACAAAGAACAAAAAATATGTTTTTTGACAGAATTTGGCCATTTCAACGTGTTCGGATACCTTAAATATCTTTTGAACCGATTGCGATATTGGAATATAAATAGTCAAAACACGCATTTTCATCCAAACAAAATGTGTTTACAAAATTTCAGCTCAATCGGGCGAAGACATCAGTTTCAAAATTTAGTTGCAACATTCCCCCCGAACAAAAACTTTAATTAATAAACTTTTTTAAATCATTGAGATATCCCGGGAAAATAAATGGGGAAAACATTCATTGCCATCAAACTAAAAATGTATACAAAATTTCCCGCTCAATCGGTTGAAGACATCAGGGTTCAAAATTGAGGGTTTCAAAAGATTATCCGAACATTTTACATTGCAAGTTAAATAAAAGCTTGTAAAAAGTGTTTCTTTAAATAACAATGAAAAACAAAAATATGATTATGTAAGAGTGCTAAACAGAACAAAATGTAACAATGTAAAAGACTATGTGTTTTTTGACATAACAAAGCTCCATTGTGAAACAGTTTAAACTAAAAAAAACAAATATGTTTTTTGGATATGGCAAAAAAATATATGAAAAAAAAATGACATGAAAAAAACAAAAAATATCCCTATAGGATAAAAAAAAAAGTATAAAAAAGTGTTTTTTGAATATGCATTGATGCGACAAAATTTTAAAAGAAAAAGGAAAAACTTACTTCTCATGCGCGTTTCGATGGAATCAAAGAGAATCACCACATGAAGTTCCTGAAAGAAATACACATTTAATAATAATAATTAAAAAAAAATAAGATGATTGTGTCTCGGTTATCAAATTATTTTCTTTTCATAGCTTTTAAAACAAATCAGAAGTGGAAGCATCGAAGAAGATCGGTGATACGAAGGACGCGTGACAGTTGGACGAACAACACCGTCACCTCTATCTGGAGCAAATTTGATACTTGGCTTCGTGAAAATTTCACCGCGCGCGCGTTTCAGTTTTTCAAGCAAACTTAAACATCTCTAAAAGTTGTGACACTGCTATGGCACGGAAAGAAAGGTAGGGAATTATTAAACCAGTCGCGAAGTTACTTTCACAAAATAAATTATCCAGGCAGACAAGAAATTAACATTAGAGAGAGCGTTTCCTTACTCTTCATTCACTTAATAATATTAATACTGCAAGAATTATACTACACATAATAATATTGGATTATTATGTAACATAATAAAATAGAATAAAATAACATTAACGAAACGAATACGATCAAAAAAAGGGGACTGTTCACAACACGTTTTTTTTAACACACATACATATATTAAAAAATTAAATTAAAAAGAAAATACGCGGTGTTCCAGCTGGTCACCCTCCCAAGTACTGACCGCGCTCCATGATGATCAACTTCGGTGATCGGACGAGAACAGGTGCTTTCAGCATGGTATGGCCGTTAGCAAAACCGCCGTTTAATTCCAATAAAATGCACGAGAAATAATAATAAACTACGTTATTTATTTAATCTAACTGCTAACAAAATTACAAATTACAACAATTGCGAAAGCCACTAAACAATTCATAAATTTTAAAAAAAATCACAGCTATAAATTTCATGATCGCAGCAAACAAATCTTTCGAAATCAGACTAGAAAAGCAATAAATAAATTAAGCGCTCAAGGTCATTCTAAAACAAGGATTACAACACATACGTTGTCTAATATATGCACGGGCATTATAACAGTTATACATAAAAAGAGCGATGCCAGCTTAGCACACTCACATCAATCAAGAAGGGAAAGGGGGAAAAAAAAAAGCCCTTTTCAGGGCCAGAAATTCGGAATCGAAGCGAAAAGAAAATAAGAACTACAACAATTGATCCTATATGCATCTTAATTAAAACACAACACAGAAACAAAATGGGTTTGTTTACATAACAATGTTAAAAAAAAAGTTCTGTAACAGGGGTCAACAGAACAAAATATTATGTAGAAAAAGTGTTTCTGGACATAACAATGAAAAACAAAAATAGGATTCTGTAACAGTGTTAAACAGAACAAAATGTAACAATGTAAAAAAATATGCGTTTTTTGACATAGCAAAGTTCTATTGCGTAACAGTGGATCTAAGAACACAACATGTTTGTGGATATGACAAGAAATATATGAAGAAAATACATGAAAAAAAGCAAGTGAATATCACACATAGGATAAATAAAAGTATAAAGGTTTTTGTGAATTTGCCTTGATGTGACAAGATTTTAAAAGAAAAAGGAAAAACTTACTTCTCTCTCGCGTTCAATGGAATCAAACAGAATCACCACATGAAGTTCCTGAAAGAAATAAACACATTTAATAATAATAATTAAAAAAAAGTAAGATGATTGTGTCTCTGTTATCAAATTATTTTCTTTTCATAGCTTTTAAAACAAATCAGAAGTGGAAGGATTGAAAAGTTCGGTGATGAAAGAAAAGGGGGCACAACATCGTCGCCTTTATTTGGAGCCAATTTCATCGTTTCAGTTTCTAGGAACTCATACGGCACGGAAAGGAAGGGGGGGGGGATTATTAAACCAGTCGAAGTTACTTTTTCAAAATAAATTACCCAGGCAGAGAAGAAATGAACATTAAAGAGAGCGTTTCTTTACTCCTCATTCACTTAATAATATTTAAGTCTCAACACAGTCTTCTTAAGACTGCATTATGAAAAACGTTGGAACAGGAGGTGAAAACGCAAAGTATCAAAGAAATATCATTCCGACTACTTAAAATTTTGATTCATTGAAGAACCTGGCAGTGAACTGGATCCACGGCCACTCTGTGTTTTATAACTGTAAAGTTTATTTAAGGATGCATTAAAACCTTCCAAACTTATAAGAGACTTGAAATGACAACACGCAGAATTAGCAATGCAAACCCCGCTAGAATATTTTAAAAGAATGCATGGAAATATGCAAAAGCAAGTTACTGTTTTAGAAAAAGGACTATGAAAGACAAATCATTAGTACAGGCTTCCTACCTCATGGCAAATCAGATGGCGAAATGCAAAACTCTGTATATGATTGGAGAACAATTTTTTAAGCCTTACATGTTAAAAACCTGAGAACGGATTTGGGAATGTATGCTGTTCAGAAATTGAAAAGTAATTCCTATGTCTGCTAATGCCATCAAGCGCACAATAGAAGATATGGAGGAAGACATTGAAACATCAAATATTAAAAATGGTGAAAAATTCATCAATTTATTCAATACAACTAGACGAATCTACGGATATTATACAAAGCACCCCTTCTTTGTTTTATGAGGTTTGAATATAAAGGAGAGTTATATGAAGAGCTACTTTGTATTCTTAATTTGCAGGGTAGAACAACCAGCTCTGAGGTGTTTAAAGCTCTTAATAGTTATATCCGGGAACATGAAATTGACTGGAAAAAGTGTATCGCGATATGCACAGATGGTGCCGCAAATATGACTGGACATCTTTCTTTAATTTTTGCAAAGGTGAAGAATGTTCGTCACCCAGACTTTTTATCTACCCACTGCATTATGCTTCGAGAACAACTTGCAGCGAAACAAATATCCCCTAAACTATGAGAAATATTATCACATATCATCGAAATTATAAAGGAAATTCACGCAAAGCACTCAGTTATGGAATATTTGAGGCTGTGAAGAAATGGGTTCCGAGTATACTCATCTTCATCATGATGAGGTGAGATGACTGTCGATTGGCAAAATACTGACCCAACTATTTGCCCTGCTGGAAGAAGTCAAATTATTTTTCCAGGAACAAAATAATCCGAAATGGCAAAAATTCTTGTCCAACAACGAATGGCTAGCAAAGCTTGCATATTTGGCAAATATTTTTTACCCATTAAATCAACTAAACATATTCTTGCAAGAACAACTTAAGTCTGTGTTCACTCTGTAAAGTAAAATGAATGCGTTTCAAAAAAAATATTACTGTAGCAAACACGATTGGTTGAGGACGATCTGCAAATATTTTCTAATTTTGATGAATACATGAAGGAAAAAGATCTTAACCAGCAATAGTAACCCTCATTAAAAGCGCTTGGAATCACTTACAGAATCATTTGCTCGTTATTACTCAAAGAATGAAGATCTCAGACATGGTAATATATGGATAATAGATCCGTTTGCAGCGAAGATTTCGGATAAAAATTTAAGCAAGCATCTAAAAGAAAGCCACACCGACCTATAGTCCGACGTAACTCTCATATTTAAATTTCATTCATCCTTATCAAGATCTCAATTTTGGCTTTCCATAAAAAGTGGATACACTTTTCTTAGTGAACAGGCGATGAAAATTCTGATTCAATTCTCCATAGCTTATTTATGGGAAAAGGTGAATAAAAAATATAAATGAATAAAAATAAATTCAAGCAATTCATAAAACAGTATTATCATAGAAAAATTTGTTAAATTTCTTAATTTGCTACTCAGATATAATTTATTGTTTTATATGGGTTTTGTAAATTATCATTTATAATGTATGGATAAAATAATTCATCATGTAGAAACCCGTGTTACATAAAAAGAAACAAGCAATAAGCGAAAATAAAGTCAATCTACACAAAAGTTAAGAATTCCTTTCCCAAACAGTCGTTCTGTGCTCTTACAAATCACCACTAGGATCTGATAGCTGCTATCAAATCACACCATTATACTGAATAGGCTCACCACTACACAATGCCCCGTGTCACTGGGCTGTATGAAGAAAATAAAAAGCTGATCCCATTCACGTCGAGAAAGTGTGCAAATATCGCTGCCTCCATGGATCTCTGGAAAAAATACAAACTTTTTTTTGGTGTAACAAATGTGGTATATAAGAATAGAAGCTTTTGCCCGCCCCCTCTAAGTTCCAGGATAATAACTTACTAAAATATCATTATTGTTATTGTTTTTTATCAAAAGTAAATTCTTATCTTTATTTCTTTTTCTTCTCTTTCCAATAAATAAATTGAACTTTCTACACTTAACACTTATGCATTGAACAAAAAATAAATTTTTGGAAATCTGATGTATTTACTCTAGTGTTTTTAAAACTGTGGAGTGCGCCCCCTAGAAGGCGTGATAATCCTACAAGAGGGGCGCGAGCATATCGAAAAGTCGAAAATAAAACATTATTTAAAAAATTTATCAATTTACTAAAAGGAAGCAAAATAAAATATATTCTGACTTAACAAAGAACAAAATACACATTTACTCTGATATACTATACTTATAAATGCATCAGGAAGGCACAATATATTTGATATTAAGTATCAATATTAAGAACAAGTTTAATATTTACTATTGATTTTTCCATTGGCTGTACAAAATTTAATGCTTATATTGACAATTTGCATAGTTTATAATTATACATTATTACTGCATTCAATACAATGTTATTGTAGGGGGGGGGGGGGTGCGATGAAATTTTTTGATTGAAAATTGTGTCGCGAATATCGAAAGTTTGAGAAACACTGATTTACTCCAATTACAAAATTTCAAGATAAAAATTATTTTAGGACATGAGTGTCGTTCACTCCCGAGAAGGAAACTACACATTATTTTCTAAATTCTTGTGAAAGAATCAACTTTCGAACACATTTGCGCTTGTGAATGAATGCGATGTTGAAGAAAATCTTTAATGCTTCACCAATCGTATAAAACAAATCGAAAGTCATAGAGATTGTGTGGTAATACGTCACAGTAAAAATTGGATTGGCTGAAAAAATACATAGAACATGATCTTAAAATGTCAACACTTTTTCCATGTTTGACTGTTCTTGAAAATTATAAAGGAGATGATTTTACAGATAAATCTTGATTTTTTAATCATAGGGCATAGGGCTATTGGTGTGAATTCTACAGCATAAATTTAAAGTTGGTGATTATAACAGAAATTTTTTTAACCATTAGGCGGTTACGAACGTACTGAGAACCCTCAACGTTACGGATTACATTGGCGGATGGTTCACGAAAAAGCTTAAAATTATTTATGATTTACTATATTTATTATTTAATTGTATAACAACAATTATACTAAACTCATGTTTCTAAAAGAAGAAAAAAAAGCTTCCTACAATTCTTGGTTTTCAAAAAGAGCGTGCCTTGAACGAGGCAAACAAAGACATTCTAGGGAAAAGTTCGAACAATGAAAACTCAACGGATTAAAGGTTAAACCCACTAACTCCTTTCCACATGTTACCAATTAATATTTTAATACTAAAACCATGAAACACTTCTGTAGTAATTGTTTGATTAATCAATATTCAAAAAAATTTTTTTATGTTTACAATTTAAATCTTATTTATTGCTTTACAATAAAGCAATAAAACTTAGGGTTTATATAAGTTGAGAAACTCCCGATATTTAAGTTGGAATTAATTACAGTTAGAATTTTTCTTAATTTTTCTCTCAATGTACTTCTTAAGAGTTCAAAAAACTGTGGAG